GTGGAGGATTTTTAAGACAGCGGGGTGCCCTTGAAGGCACATTGAGGGAACAGTATGGTCATTATTGTTTCCTTAATTTTCCTTTATTTACATACCTCTTTTATTCAACTTAGGAAACCACCATTTAGTTGATAATCCATCTAGCTATTTTGGGGGGGGGGGGGTTGAGGTCAGATTGATAACTCCAGCCTGTACCTCTTTTCAATACATGCTTCATTTTTTTTTTGCTACTTAATTGATATAATTTGATACATTTACAATTGTTTACTCAAGTGATGCAGTTGCAATTTTCTACATACATTCTATTACATCTTTTCTTTATGTGCTGAAAGCCATTACATATGACTGATATCACATGTGTATATTATAGGCACACAGACAACTTTTGGCTAGACAGGATCTTATCCTATTTTTATAGCACTTGTGGGTGTATTTCATATTTTTTATCTTAGTGTCCCAGTAGGGTCCAACTACTTTGTTCATTACTTATTTATCTAAGTTTTAACTATGGATAATAAAAGTTAAGTTTTTAGCTACATTTTGGTATGTAGATTTAAAAAAAAATGTTTTTTTTAAATTTTATATGTATATTTAATTAACTCAATACCAGACAAACACCTTCTCTACGTCTTTTCCAGGCATTACTTTTTAAAACTAATTATTTGGCGACACCTAGTGGTTTAATGCTATATTACATGTATAATTTGAATGTACCCTCAGAAATTTTGACATTTGTCACCTTGGCTTTATATATATTAAATATATATTTTGAGTAAATTCTCTTGTTTAATCCACCATCAGGCAGTCACTAGGGCCATTGGGGCAGAGAAAAAAAAAAGCATATACGCTTACATTTGTCAGGGGCCAGGAGCTGTTGCTGCTGCTGGTTCTCTCTGTGTTACTTCCAAGCTGGCTTTTTGCTGCCCTCATGCTATGAACCAATGATGACCCATGAATAGAAAGGCTAATAGCATGCCTCCACCATAACAAGTCAATGGAAACTACTGAAATTCCTTCTTAAAGGTCACTAAGTATGTAGGCCGCTGATTGGCTACCAGCTGAAAGATAAAAGCAGTGGTGGGAAGGTGGGGGTATAAAAGACCCTAACTGAGATAAATCAAGTGCAAGAGCAGAAGAGGAAGATTCCTAGAAGTTGTGTTGGAGTGTACCTGTGTTGGATCAGCTTCTCAGTCAGCTGCTGGATTTAGTGAAGATGCCAGGAGGTGAAGAGTGCCTATGTCTGTGTTTTCTGTCCTTCCCAGACACCGCAGCAGAAGGAGAGTGGAGGGGTGCAGTGTGCAGTGTGCGAGACAGGTGCAGTGTGTGAGAGGAGTACAGTGTTTGAGAAGGGTGCAGTGCATGAGAGAGGTACAGTGTGTGTTGGGGTGCATTCTGTGTGAGGAGTTCAGTGTGTTTATGTGTTGCTGTGTTGGGTTGCATAAGGCCTTTTGTTGTGTGGGGGGATGAAATAGTTCTGACAGCAAAATATATATATTTTTTAAGATTAAAAACAATACAACAACAAAAAAAAATCTGCTTTATATCTCCACTCTCTTTTTCTTGCCTTTTGCCAGGGAGGAGGGACATTAAAACCTCTGATGGTCTATTAGGGGTGAGTAACTCTAGCCTGCAGCTCCTCCAGCTGCTGGCAGAGTTCACTACTCTCGCAAGATCGTCTGGGCATTGCCGTGGAAACCATTGTAGCAGACTCCATTCCCTTGTGTTCGGTTGTCCGTACCCCCTTGTTTGTCTCCCGAATGACTGGTGTGTCGTCCCCCTTGTTATGCCTCAGAAAACACACACCTCCCCTGACTGTTAACCACAAATTAACAACTGGACACATTAGTTTGAGTACTTTCCCTAGGTGGCCGCCATTCATATAAACAAACGCACATGGTCCAGTGCATGGAGGCCATTTTGTCTCCCGAACACAGGCAGTAGTACACGGTTATCGAATGCATGGAACTAATTTCAGCAACGCAAGTCCACAAACCCGGACGGAGTTCGGACCGCTGTCGGTTTAACTTTCCGACCATCTAGACGAACGACGTGCGTGAGATATGATCTACAGACTGGGGGAAGCATTCGCTCCCTAACAGCCAGGGGGAGCGTATGTCAGTGTTCACACAGGAACTCCCAAAAGTCGACCAGCCATCCTGCCCAATCCTCTGGAACTGTTTTGGACTAAAACCAGTTTTGACCAGTTGGTCAAAACTTTATTCAAACAGCAATTTCATTCTCCCTAACCGATCTGAGTGCTTTTTGGATATGTTGTGCATTCAGATCAGGGCTGTGATTTTTGTGGGGTTTCTGTATTATTTTCTTGTATTTTTGGGGTATTGTAAAATATTTATGTAAGTTTCTGTATTTGAGAAATAATTGAGTTATCCTAATTTGACCTCAATTATCTCTCAAACACAAAGACTCTTGGGAAGAAACCCCTGTGTTCTTGATATGAAAACCCCAGTGCATAAAAAGTCACGTGTGGCAGAATAAAATCAGATGTACTCCCAGAACTGTGTGTTGTCCAGTTGCTGGGGAGAAGGTGAGTTATTCACTTGGCAGTATCTTGTTCCTGAGTTCTACTCTTGGTGATCCAGCAGAGGAAAGTCCTGGTCAGGACTAGGGCTCCGCTACAGCTGTGTCAATGCTCTGATCCTCTCGGCTCCTCCTCTCTTCTCACTCTTCTAAAGTAAAGTGCCTATGAGCCGGTGAGGGAAATCGTTGATCTACGCACGAGCCCACGAAGGCACTTTAATAGTGCCAGCTCCGCATGGACCTACAGGAGAGATGCTCTGATTTAACCTGTTAGCCTTGCGGTCCACTGGGAAATTTCTTCGTTTGCCCAATGGCCAGTCCAGAGGTCTTGGGGGACCTACACAATATTAGGCAGGTGGTATTAATGCTGTGGCTGATCAGTGTACATACGCATACATGCATATATACTAAAATAGTTTCCATTTTCAAACAGAGTAAAAATCATTATATTTCGGCATGAAGTAGCATATATATTACATATTACATACATATATCACTTTAATGACAGAGTTAAGTCATATCCCAGTTGAGAGAGAGCAAGTATAAAACTAGGAATAAAACTTTGCAATTGAACAGGTAAAACCTTGCAACTGAACAGATAAAAGTAAAAAAATAAGAACAAAAAAGAAAAAAACAACAACAAAAAACTATTTATCAGCATACATGAATCAATCTTCTCTCCCTTAGCCAGTTGAGGTCCCACTCTGGTATTTTTCCAAACAAGATTACCTGCAGTGTATGTTGCTGACTAGAAGGATAATGTGGAAGTCCACGGGAACTTGTCGCCGATCTTCATAAGGATGAAGAAGAATGAGTATAAGTAGTTGTCAAAAACTGGGTGGCTCCATCCAGGTTAATGTGAAGAATATGGTCAACTTGTTCACTAGTACTTGTAGCAAGCATGGGCGTCCGCAGGAATTTTTCCAGGGGGGGGGCATAATTGTAATGACATCCATGCTTGGTACCTTTTTGACAGTGTCATGAAAGGGAAGGGGCATAGCCATTATCACATAAAGCCAGGGTGAATAGCGTTTTCACAACTATGGTGTCAGGAATATATGTTTGTATTCCTGACTCTATAGTGTTCCTTTAAGCAAATTAAAGGACATATCTGGTCACCATAACAACTTCACCTAAATGAAAATGCTATGATGCCAGGAAGCCTCTGGGTGCTCGCTTTCCTTTAAGGAGTTAAATCGCTCTCAAATGGTTTAACCCCAAAGGCTTCCTCCAGCTCCAGGTCGCTCAGTGGTATTTGGCTTCTGAAACAGAGTGTCAGGAAGTGCAGACTGACGTCAGGCATGGGTGCCGCTGATTGGCTAGAGTGGTCAGTTGACGCTCTAAGCCAATCGCTAGTTCCCGGTTCATAAAATATTTTTACTTTTTTATGAATGGGGAGCTACTGATTGACTTAGAGTGCCAGCTGACTGCTCTAGCCAATCAGCAACACCCTTACCCAACGGCACTCTGTGCTTCCTGACACTCAGTAAATAAAAGTGAACACATTAATACTGATATTTTTTTACCTTTGGAGATGAGAAGGTCCAGCGTTTCACTGCCAGGCCCAGGTAACAAAGCCTTATGATGTGGTGTCCAGAATAAAGTGGAGGGTTCACTTCATTTGTCCTTCCTGCTCCAATCTCCTTTTCCTCTCCTTCATTTGACAGTCTTTTTTTTC